GAAGCAGCTTGTCTGCCCCGGACAGCTTATGCAAGACTGTTCAGAGAGAGAAAAAGGTTTTTTTGTTTTTGTTTTTTTTTTAAGATTTTATTTGAGAGAGAGGGAGAGTGAGAGGGAGAAGCAGACTCCCCGCTGACCAGGGAGCCCGATGCGGGGCTCGATCCCAGGACCCAGGGATCATGACCTGAGCCGAAGGCAGACGCTTAACCAACTGAGCCACCTAGGCTCCCAAGAAAAAGGCATTTCTATTTTGTTTAAGGTACTACTCTGTTTTGGGGTTTCCTACCTAATATACAAGGGGAAACAAAATCTTGACGGTGAACTGCCAGGTGGACAGGGGGACCGGTCCTATCTCCACCTGGTTCCTAACTCCCAAAGGTATAGAGAATGGGGGCCTGTATTCATTTGTAGGGCTTCAGTAACAAGGTATAGCAAGCTGCGTGGCTTTGAACAACCCAAGTTTACTGACTCACAGTTCTGGAGGCTGGAAGTCAGAAATCAAGGTGTTGGCTGTACCAGGCTCCCTCTGAAACCTGTAGGGAAGGATCCTTCCTTGCCTCTTCCAGCTTCTGGCGGCCCCAGATGCCCCGTGGCTTGTAGAGGCATCCGTCCAATCGTCCCTGGTCACATGGCATCCTCCGGGTGTGTCTTCACATCACCTTCCTGCTGCGCATGTCTGTCTCTGTGTCCCAACCTCCTGTTTTGTAAGGACACCAGTCATAATGGATCAGGGCCCACCCTAACAGCCTCATTTTAACCTGATTACCGCTGTAAAGGCCCTATTTCTAAATAAGATCACATTCTGAGGTGCCTGGGGTTAGGACTTCAAGATCTCTTTTTGGGGGAGGAGGCATGTTTCAGCCTATAACAGGGCCACACAGAAGGTAGGTAAGATTTCTGGGCCAGTCTCTCTAAAGACCGGTGCAGATAACGGAGCGGTCAGTACATAGAAAACCAGAACACAGGGTGATAGCACCAGCCCAAGGCGAGCTGGTGATGTTAATTAATAGGTAGCTGGGGTAGAGTTTCAGGTGCTGCTCTAAGTGCTTCTCATACAAGAACCCATTTATCCCTCAGCGCAACCTGCTGCAGGAAGCAGGATTATTACCCCATTTGATAGAGGACAAATATGAGGCACAGAATGGTTAAGTAACTTGGCCAACGTCACAAGGCATGAGTGGCAGAGCTGGGATCCGAACCTAGATGGTCTGCCTTGAAAGCTGTGGCTGGAGGTTCTTCCAGGTTTCCCCTGCCCTAGGTGTCAGGGCAGGCCATCTCTTTTCCAAGACCTTTCCGGGTGGGGGAGTGGTGACAGACATTCGCACAGCCTCCACCACAAACTATGCACTGTTCTCTCCATCCCCACAGCACTGAACCTACCTCATGCGTGTCCTTGCCCAGCCTCCTCCTGGACACCTCCAGTGTCCTGCCTCCAGTGCATCTCCCAGAGGAGTCTCTCCATCCTCCAGTGCCGTCCCTCCCCCTTTCCTGCTCACATTCCTCCCATGGCTCCCCAGCTCCCCCAGGAGAAAAGCGAGCTCCTTAACCTGGCCTTCGAAGCCCTTCACAGAATGGCCTCTGGATCTAAGCAGTTGCCTTCCTCATTTGAGTTCCCTCTCTCCAGCTAGCTCAACCACCAGCAAGTACCAAGGACCAATCACAGCGGATAGCACCAGGATCTCCCTCCAGAACCTCCTGGAGGAACCCCTGGTCCTTCACACGCCTAACATGTACGCTGATCTCGGAGCCGTCCTGCCAACCCATTCCTCCTCCGGGGGTCCTCATCCATGGTCAGTCCTCATGGTTCACCCAGTACCGGACCAGATCCCCAGGGAGATTCTCCTCCCTCTCCCTTCTCCTCACCATTCCTCCCCCACCGGTCATCCCCAAACCCCATCCCTCAACCCCATCTCTCTTGCGTTTTTTTTCTGCCTTGTATCCTCCCCTGTGTCCCCACAGCTCCTGCCCCAACTCAGCTCTCCTCTCCCTCTGGATCTCACCCAGACCCCTCTCAGGCCTCCTCGCCTCCAGTCTCCCCACTCTAGTCCATCCCCCACACGGCCCCAGAAGGCTTTCTTCACTCAGGGCCGATCTTGCCCCCTCTCCTAATCAGGGCCATCCCATGGCTCCCCAGCACCCTGGGACAGCGTCAGCCACCCTTGATATGCCCCTGCACACTCTCCAGCATCATTCTCGATGTCTGTGCCTGTGGTCCTTACATTCCAACGGCAGCCTCTCCTGTAAGTCCTTAACTCTTCCGCCAAGGGCCACTAGCACCTGTTGTTCCTCCATATCGGATATGCCCTCAGAGCCTCAGAATCCAACTCCTGCTTCAAGGCACAGTCCAAACCTGTTCCCGACGCACACACTCACCCGGACCCTCCCTACTCGTGCACGCGGAGGTCACCCTCAAGCACTGCCCAAATCTCCCCACACAAGCAATGGTCTCTCCCAACCAATTCCATCCCCCTCGCCCGGACACACAGTGAACCCGCCCACCCCTACCCCCCGCGCCCCCACCCGGTGACCTCGCCCATCCATCCAGAGGCCCCGCCTTCTTTTCCTCAGCAGAGGTCTTCCAAGCCCCGCCCCACCTTTCAAACTAGTGTCTCCTGAAGGCCTCTCCTCTTCCAACTGTTTGGATCCCTTTATCCCGCGCCCCCCCCCCCAAGCATTTACCCCCGGATCAGTGGTCCCGCCCGGCGAAACATCCCTGCCCCACCCAGGCCCACTCCTCCCACCCCTGTGCTGGAAACTTGGTATGTCCCGGGGTGGCAGATGGGAACGGGGATCGGGCGAGACCATTACCCGAGGAGGGGGTAACGCAGCAAGGGAGTCCCTGTTCAACTACGGACGGTCGAGACCGCTGGCTCCCCTGGTGCCTTTCAGATTCGACCGGTTTCTCCCCAGACTTCGCCACCTCCCTATCGCTGCCCCTACCCCACTTAGTGCTGCGATCTTCACCCTTCCGGCCAGGTACACTGCGGTTCACGGGAGCCTCCGTTCACCGGGGGAACTCCGGGCAGAAGCGCTTCCGGTCGCCCCAATGTGCATGCGTGGCGCGTTTCCGGTCGCCTGGCTGATAGCTGTCATGATGTTGGTCGGGCTGACAAATAAATGGGAGCCCCTCCCCATGGAGCGTCACCAAACGTTAACGCACATCTTCAGTCTCTCAAAGAAAACAGGAAGGCTGATATATAGTAACAACCAATTACCGATGTGCTTGGCACGTACTAGACAGTATAAGCACACTAGTTTCAATTCTCCAGCCAGCTTTGGTGAGTTAGTATTATCCCCATTTTCCACACGAAGACACTAAGGTTCAGAGAGGGGAAGCCTCCGCAAGTGCTCTGATAGAGCAGAACGGGAGCTAGCCCTGCATGACTCCATCCCTACTCGCTGCCTAAATAAGAGCCATTGGAAATGCAGGGACGTATATGGGGCGCCTGGGTGGCTCAGTCGGTTAAGCGCCCAGCTCTTGATTTCAGCTCAGGGTATGATCTCAGGGTTGTGAGACCAAGTCCTGTGTAGGGCTCCATGCTGGGTGCGGAGCCTGCTTAAGATTCTCTCTCTCCCCCTCCCTCTGCAGCCCCCTGCCACGCGCTCTCTCAATCTGTCTTGAAAGAGGGAGGGAGGGAGGAAGGAAAAGTTAAGCGCAGGGGTGGAGGTTTGAGTTGGGGAGGACTCCCTGTTGTGTGTCCTTTGGCAAGTCACTGAATCTCTCCGACTTAATTTCCATAGCTAGAAAACGGGCGCCATGCCCAGCCTCCCGGGGTGTTCGGGGTGATCATAGAGGGCATCTCTTAGCTCTGCCACCCTCAGCACTGGCTTCATTCTCACGCTCTATCAAGATGCTCCCAAGCAGGTCTAGGCCTGACCATCTCCTTCTGGGGCTTCTTAGGACTGAGAGAATGTTTAGAAGCCCCCCACCCTGAGCGGACCCATTGGCCAGGATTGGGTCACACGCCCGTTCTTAAACCATTCACTGGTACAGTGGCTGAGATTGGCCCAGACTACTCATTTGCCACGCTGGCATACCGGTCCAGATGAGGGAGGAAGAGGGCTGTTGGGGGGAGATGGATTCATTTTTGGCCCCTCCATTCCATCTGGCCCCAGGAGGTCTTATGGATAGAATGGAAGAAGAAATGTTGGAGCACCCCAGGTTCTCTCCAAGTCTAGGCCTCCCCCCTCTCCCTGAAAAGCCACAAACTCAGTGCAGAAACCAAAATAATACTGGTTTATTCCAATCTTGAAGCACAATAGTCTAGACTGTTCCCCTCTCCCACTGAAGAACCTCCAGCCCATCCCACCAGACCCCCCTCTCATTCAGTCTCTTCTGGGAATGACCAACCAGAAGGTCAAGGGGATCCAAGCCTCTGGGGCTTTAGAGGCTCTCAAATCACTCCTGTCTTGTTCCTTCTCTCCCCAGCTCCCATACCTTTCCTTTCCGTGTGTCTTTTTTTTTTTTCCTCTGTCCTCTACCCTGGCCTCCGTCTCCCCTGCCTCCCTCTTGTCCTCTCTCCTCTGCTTATCTCCCCGCTAGTTTCTCTCCCCCCACCCCCCACTTGTCCTCCTACAGTCCCCCTTGCTTTTCTCCTTCACCCCTGCACTCTCTGGAGTGACCATCTGTTCCTGCCTGGGCTCTCCCCATGTCCTGGTGTCTTCCCCTCCCCCAGCTTTGTCCCTTCCTTCCTTCTGCCCCGGTCGGACCCTGTCTGCCCCCGTCTCATCACACATTTCCTCTCCTGAGGGAAGCCCTCAGAAGCCATCCTGGCCACCATCATCTTCCACACTGTGGCTCCAGGACCTCGGAGACCATTGTCAGCACCCCCCCGCCCCCACACCCAGAGAGGTAAACGGCCAAGGTGACATCCCTGGATGACACAGGAGGTAGCCAGAGGGACTGGAGTGGCCTCCTTGGCCTCAGCCCTATTATCTTTGGGATCGAATAATGCCCTCCTGCCCTCGCAGCGGAGGGTGGCAGGCAGGGACCTGAAGGGTCAGGGCTCTGGGGCTCTCCCCCAGCAGTCCCTGAGCAGGTCCATGTGGAATAAGGCTGCCCCGGTGAGGAGGCGTGCTGCAAAGAGGTGTCGGCAGGGCAGACGCCGGGCGGCATGGATGGAGCAGCTGCAGCGGGTCAGAGCCCTGTCCAGGAAGAAGTCTGAGGTGCCATCCTTAAGGGCAAACCCAGCTCCAGTCCAGTGGAAACCCCGGGTACCGTGCTGCCTGGCAAAGGCCAGCTCTTCGGCCACCAAGTCTGCCAGCTCTGGCCCGCAGGCTGCTCGGAACTTGGCCAGGGGCTCCCAGTCCACCTCTTCCTCTGCCGACGGGCAGCAAGGCCTCTTCGGTTCCCTTGGTCCTTCTTCTTCACCTCCTTCCTGCAGGCTCTCCCCGGTGGCCAGGTAGACTCTCCTTGTCCCTGCCCATTCTAGATCACCCTCAAACACCGTCGCCACCGGGGCGCCACACATGACCCCATTCCCCAGCCCTAGACACCTCCCTCCGGTGCCCCCACACTCCATCCCTTGTCCTCCTCTGCTCTTGGGGCCCATAGATGGGGCTCCCTCTCCATTCTCCAGGCCTGTCATCCTTGTGTCCCCCAGCTGGACCAGAACTACATCCTCCAGGTCCCTTCTTCTTTTGACCCCCAAACTCACTCCTCTCTCTTCTCCAATCTCTGGCCCTCTCTGCCTCTCATCTCCCCACTGGGGCCCCCTTTGGTCTCCATTCTCAGGGATCAACTCCCTGGGCTTCTCCAAATGGCGCCCCCTCCAGTTCCTGACCTCCAACCCCCTTCCCTTCTCAGCTTCCAACTGAGGCCCCTTCCACTCTCTGGTTTTCAGTCCACCTGCCCTCTCATCATGCAGCTGGGCCCCCCTCCAGGTGCTCCCTTCAAGTCTTGAAGGGCCCCGCTCAGAATCCAACGGGGTCCCCCTCCGGTCTGTGGTCTCCAGCACCCTAATCCTTCGATCCTCCAGCTGGGCCGCCCTCCAGGTATACCCTTCCAATTCCCTCAGCCCGTGGTCCTCCAACCGGGCGCCTCTCCGGACATAACCCTCCGGTCCCTTATCCTTCTCACCCTCCAACAGGGCCCCCCTCCAGTCTCTGATCTCTGGTCCTCTCCACTGCTCGTTCTCCAGCTGGGACCCTCTCCAAACGCTCTCCTCTAGCCCTCTCTCTTTCTGGTTCTCCAACTGGACCTCTCTCCAGTCTTGGATCTGCAACCCTCTCCCCATCTCACTTTCCAACTGAGCCCCTCCCCGGTCTCTGGCCTCCAAACCTCGGGGCCACTCCTTCTCCAACTGGGCGCCTCTCCAAATACTTCCTTCTTTCGGGGCCCCTCCCCAGTCCCCGCTCTCCAGGACCTTCATCCTCTCCTCCACGTGGGCTCCCCTCCCCGGCTCGCCCTCTGGCCACGGCCCGCCGCCGTCCGGGCCGTCGGGCGCCGCCTCCCCGGCCGCGTCGGCCCACTGCATGGCCACCAGGTCGCGGAGGCACTGCGCCACGCTGCGCGAGGGGCTCAGGCGGCGCAGGAGGCGCCGGCGGTGGCCGCGCACCAGAGCGCACGCGTCCAGGTCCCGGGCCGCCTCGAAGGCTCGGAAGCGCACCCACATGTCGCGGCGCGGGGCCCAGTTGCGCTCGAAGTAGTCGACGAAGGCGGCCGGGCCGTGCGCGCGCAGCTCGGCCAGCGCCTCGGCGTAGGCGGCGGGCGACGACGCGCCGGCCAGGCGGCACAGGCGCGGCCACAGGCCCGGGTCCTCGCGGCCGGCGCCGCCCAGCTCCTGCGCCTTGCTGAAGAGCGTCTCGAGGCCCTGCGCGCGGCAGATCTGCACGCGCGCGCCCGGCAGCAGCTGGCGCACGGCAGGCAGCTGCGCCGCCACCTCGGGCCCGGCCGTCAGGCAGCGCACGCGGCCCTTGACGTCGGGCGCGCTCTGCAGCAGCGAGGCCAGCGCGAAGCGCAGCAGGCTCGGCGTGCCCGGGCGCGCCACGCAGCAGGCGGCCTGGCGCGCGCGGCCCGCGCCGTCCACGCACAGCACGGCCAGCAGGTCCAGCGCGCCCTGCAGCCCCGGCAGCCGGTCCACCAGGAGCATGCGCGGGAAGCGCCGCAGCAGCGCGCGCGTGCGCGACGTCAGGAAGAACACCGTCTCCACCACCGCCTGGTCCTCCACGAACACCAGCTTCACCTGCGGGCGGGGGAGGGGGAGGCAGGGAAAGAGGTCAGGGGACGCCGGGGGTCGCCCGGCGGCTCCCGGATCTCAGGTTACCCCCCGCCTCCGCCCCGCTACGGTGGGTGGGGGGTGGGGGGGCGGTGGGAATCCATTCATTCCTGCGCGCAGCCATTCTTCCGGCCGGCAGGAGGCAGTGCCGGGGAATGGTTAAAAACGCGACCTCTGGAGGCCGATGGCCCGCGTGTGAGATCCGGCACCACCGTCTAATAGCTGGGTGATTTCTGCACACGGGACAGCCTCTCCGAGCCTCACTGTACCTACTGGGAACTGGGTATTCATTCCTTCATGCGCTGAGAGGCGGTCTAGAACAAAGGTCTCAAAGTGTAGGCCTTGAAGCGGCAGCATCGCCTGCTGGGATCTTGACAGAAATGCCTATTCTTAGGCCTTCCCAGACCTGCCGAGTCAGAAACTCTGAGGGCTCCGACAAGCCCTCCAGGGGATTCCCACGCGCGCTCCAGTTTGAGAGCCACTGGTCTAGCACTAAGGCCGTAGACTTCGAAGCCAGATCGTCTAGGTTTGAGTCCCGTCCCCACCACTCTCGAACCTTGTGACTTAACCTCTCTGAGCCTCAGTTTCCTCCTTAACCTCCTTGTTCCCCCAATTTCCTCTTCTGGGAACTGAAAATTCATTCCTTCATGCTCGGAAGGTCAGGTCCAGCTTAGGGTCTGGAGCCAGACTGCCTGGGCTGAGACCCTAGCCGTGTGGCTTCCCGCGACTTCCCTGACCTCCACCCCATCTGTAAAATGAAGAGAGAGTATCTCCGTGACTGGAAGGACGAAATGCATTAAAGCCTTTTAATGCCCCCTTTTTGATCTCTCCTGGCTTCTGTCACCCTGGAAACTCCTGGCTGCCTGGCACAAATATATTAATGTTCAACCAATAGTAAGTGCTCTCAAAGTGTTCATCATTACTATCCTTATCACCCCTGCTCAAAGATCATGTCCTCATAAAGGTCTGCCCTGACCATCGCTTCCAAGCAAATACCCCAGCTCTCTCTGGCCACTGTTGGCCATGGCACTTAACCACCCTGGAGCATGTCACCTCTTTATTTGCTGATTTGCTTATCATCTGTTTGCCCTTCCTAAGATGGAAGCGCCACAAGGTTAGGGATGTTGTGTTTTGTATTCCCAATGTTTGGAATGGTGCCCACAGTCTCGGCTCGATACATCCTGAATGAATGCATGCATCAGTGTGTGGCCCTATCCACTTGCCATGTCTCCGGAGTCCAGCGAAGAGTCTAATTTTGAATCTTCACTTTGTCTCTTACTAGCTGTGGGGACCCTGGCCTGAGTCTCACTTTCCTTGGCTGCAAAACTGAGGTAATGTCTATCCACCACAGTCATGGAGAGGCTAAAATGAGATCATTTGTGTCCAAAGCTTGGTGTGTATCTAATCCCGCTTTTATTTCTGTCTTACTTGTCTCTCAGCAGCACTGAGGACAGGGAGCCTGCCCCCCTTTTGATCTCTCTTGGCTTCGGTCACCCTGGAAACTCCTGGCTGTCTTCCTTCCTCCCAGGCATCTCCCATGTGGTATTCTTTGCTTCTCCTCTTCCACCCCTGCTCCGCTTCTAAATGTTGCTGAGCTGCAGAGCCCGTCCTGGCTTCTCTTCTCCTCTTCCTGTCTCTAGGCTCTGCCAGGGTGATCTCATCTGGTCACACGGCCTTCCTCATCTCTCAGCTGATAACTCCCAGTTCTGTATCTCGAGGCTCTAGATCCATCTACTGAACTGCCTCGGCAGGAACATGGCCCGTTGGACGTCTCCAGTGTCCTTGGAGATGGGCAGCCCAGAGCCGCACTTGATTCCCACTGCCCCCCCAACTGGCCCCATCTCCATTTCATTTTCAAAACTTCTGATCAGATCACCCCCTCCCCTGGTTGAAAACCTTTCCTCTCCTGGGACTTCGCATCCCACCTCAAGGACCACCCAGATTTCCCACCACGCTGTGGGCTGGGCGATCAGGCCCTTGGACCTCATATTCTGTCCCTCTCATCCTCCTTGATGTCAGCCACTCTGGCATCATCATGCATGAAAACCACTAAATGGGGCAGGCAGGTGGCGATCAGACTCCTTCTGCCGGTCCCTGTCAGGGCTGGCCCCCAGCTGCGCAACCAGGATCTGAACCATGTAAGCACGGATCTCGCCACAAACCATCCTGCCATCGTCCAACCTCATCCTACCAGATGGTTAAAAAGCACTGCATCGGAGCACCTGGGTGGCTCAGTCGGTTAAGCGTCCAACTCTTGGTTTTGGCTCAGGTCATGATCTCGAGGTTGTGAGATTGAGCCCTGTGTAGGTCTGCCCGCTTAGTGGGGAGTCTGATGGAGATTCTCCCTCTCCCTTTGCCCTTTCCCCTGCTTGCACTCTCTCATGCTCTTTTTCTCTCAAATGAATCAATAAGTCTTAAGGGAAAAAAAAAAAAGCACTACATCATTCTCAGCTTTCAAGGGGAAAGAAAAAAAAGTCCTCTAATTAAAAAAAAAGAAAGGACTAGTAGAGTCCCCAAAAAACAAGGAAATTGCTTTCCCGCCCCAGAAATTCTATATTCAGCCTCTTAACTCGTATTAGAACTCACCATATTTTATGAAAAAGCCTAGAAAACTTACCGCTGGATTAGTTACTACCCCACTACGATTTTTTTCCAACCATCATGAATTTTTACACCTACGATTACTTGACAATTTATCTCTGCAAATGTCTCAATCTAGAACTGCTCTGTCCAAACTGGTCGCCTTAGCCCCATGTAGCTATTTACGTTTAAATTTTTAAAAAAGATTTTATTTATTTATTTGTCGGAGAGAGAGAGCGCGCACGCACAAGCAGGGGGAGGGGCAGAGGGAGAGGCAGGCTCCCCGCTGAGCAGGGAGCCTGATGCGGGGCTCGATCCCAGGACCCTGGGATCACAACCTGAGCCGAAGGCAGATGGTTAACCAACTGAGCCACCCAGGCGTCCCATCTTTACATTTAAATTAATATTTGACAACCTAGAAAAATTCAGTTCATCGGTCACACTAGTCCTATTTCACATGGGGCTAGCGACTCCTTTCCTGAATGCCGCAGATACAGGACATTGGCACCATCACAGAAAGTTCCTTCAGACAACAGCACTAGTGGAGAAATTACCACCAAGATAAAAGTTGTCCTAAGTATAACCAAAAGAGTGACACGTTTCAATAGTCTTGAGTTCGTGTCTGTTTCTTCTGGGGAGTCAGGAGTAGGAAAGGGAAATACAGCAAAATGTATGTGGCTTGAGACTTTTCCAGAGCAGGCAAGCCCTTGATGAGTTAGAAGCTGACTTCCATTCTTTAAGGGATAATTTCGATTTCTGACCTGGGGTTTTCTTTCTAAAGAGGGCACGGAAGCTTTTCTTGCTCAGCCATTGGTTCATTAAACAGCGTTGACTGAGAGCCTCTTGTGGGCTGTGCATGACCTTGAAGAGAGAAGAGGGACAGAGGCAGGCCTGAGTCCTGCCCTGTTGGACTGGCTGAGGCTCCAGGAACAGTCCAGTCGCACAACCAGAGGTACGTACCTTCAGCTGAGAGGCGTACCCCCGCAGGTAGTAAGCGGCAGGGCTGGAATTTGAACCCAAGGCCGCTTGGGCCTAGAGTCCGCGCTCCTGACCGCTATACCTCCTTGGCCTTCACGAAAGTGATCCCACAGGCCTGATTCAAGGGCAGGTGGCTGGCAGATATGAGGGCTCACCTGAGGGCAGGTATCACCTCAGACACACAAATCGGTGACACTGGGATGCATCAACCACAGATGGTGGATTCCACAGATGGTGGATTCCACAAATGTGAACATCAGAAACCACGCCACGAAACGCTCTCAACCCACACCCCTGTTTTCATGTAATTGGAACGGTACTATTCTCCAGACTGACCCGAAGAAAAACTTGAGGGAATAAAAATAATACCTAAATAGCTACCCACACAGGGCTTCCTACTTAACTGTTTTTACACAGACACGCACATACACACACTTAATCCTCACACAACAACCCTATGGAGTAGTAGCTATTCTTATCCCCATTCTACGGACAAACAAACTAAGGCTTGGAGAAGTAACTTGTTGCACCTTGTTGGATGTCCCACGGCCAGTAAACGGCACAGCTGGAATGTAGAGAAAGCTCTTAGCACCTCACAAGATAAATAAAACCAGTTTCTAGCTGTTACTCTAGGACCCAGAAAACAGCTGATTAACCTTCTAAGTCACCCGCACCTGTGCGGCATAAATTCCCAGCAGTGGGAGAGGGGCCCAAGTGCTCATTTTGATAGACATTGCCCAGTTGCCCTCCACTGTTTACCTCCACCAGTTTACCTTTCACTATTCATAAAAGTGGCACACTCAGATCAACGGTCCTCCTTCTCAGAAGGTGAAGCACACCCATGACAGAAGGTACAACATCTCTGTGCAAGCTCCGTCTCTGCCCAGAAAGCTTGCCGATTACCCGAGAAAGCTTGCCGATTACCCTAGAGCCTGCCACAAACAAGGCGATGGAGATGTGACTAACACCGCAGCACATCATCGCAGCCTCGGGGCAGATTATAAAAGGTCCTAACACCTCTCTTGTTGAAACAGCTACTCAGTCTTGCCCACAAACTGTGGCAGTGGCTTTTGGGTACACTAGTCTTATTGGACCCCCTCCCAGGACCAAGTGGGTCACCGCCACTCAGGGGGTCCCAGGCATTCAGCTTTTCAAAGTAACCCCTCCAAAACAGAAACAAAAACAAAACAACTACCAAAAAAAAAAACCCCAAAAAACAAAACAAAACAAAAACCCAAACCAAACCAAAAAACAAAGTCATCCCTCCTACACAAGACTGCTGGGAAGCAGAGAGCATAATATCTGGTTGTTGCTTAGCCTCGTCTTGGGACCAGATAAAGAATTACTATCTTAACATAGTAATAATACAGAACTCGTTCAATATATCTCATGACTGAAAAGAGCCACCCAAAACTGCCACGTAAAGGTGACAGGTTGGCCAGACTCTAACTTTATCTTCCCTGAACCTCAAGTAGAGGTTTCCATAGAAAAGGACTTTTTTTTTTTTTTTTTTTTTTTTTAAGACAGGAGCAATAGGAATGGAGACAACAGGAACCAAATTTGGGAAGCCGGCAAGCATTTGGACAAGATGGCCACTCCCCACCCCCCACCCCCCGCAAAACAAAAGCCAAACCCTGAGCCCCATGATTCCTAAGCCAGCAACTGCAAACTGCTGAGGACTGATAGTAGCGTTTTCAAAAGGAATTGGCAGCGCTAGGCAGTGCGGGGAGGTTAAAATAGACAAGTCGATGGCTGTTTAAGAAGCAGGTAGACCTCTAAGGTCAAGTTTCTTCTCACTCCCAGGTGGCTGGAGGTTTATTCTGTGAAAAGGGTAGAACAGAAAGGGCCAGTGGCTGGGGAGCCTGGGTAGCTCAGTCGGTTAACCATCTGCCTTTGGCTCAGGTCATGATCCCAGAGTCCTGGGATCGAGTCCCGCACTGGGCTCCCTGCTCAGCGGAGAGCCTGGTTCTCCCTCTGCCCCTCCCTGATGCTCATGGGCATGCTCTCTCTCTCTCAAATAAATAAATAAAATCTTAAAAAAAAAAAAAAAAGGAAGGGCTGCTGGCCTTGGGGACAACGGGTCCATCTGATGAGGGACAGGGTGTCCATGCATCTTGCTGCCCCAAAGCCAGCTCCCCAGCGCTCTTCCCCCATGTGGCTCCCAGAAGCTGGCAGTCTGGCCCTTACCCCTGCAGGCAAGAAGTTAAAGACGACCAGCCCCAAAGAAAGAAACGAAAGATGCTGACATGTGGCCAGCCCCAACATCTAAAGCAAGATGCAAAAAAAGAGTATGTCTAATATGCTACCTTGCTGGAGGAGGGGAGCAAGTGGAAATAAAATGAAAATGAAAGACAAATTTCCCTGTATACCTATGGGGTGGGACTGTTCAGTGTGAAGCCAGTGGCTGTTTAAATTGCAATTAATTAAATTAAATTAAAAATCCGGTTCCTCCGTCATATTGACCACATTGTGAGTGCTCAATAGCCACATGAGTCCAGGGGACACAGATCATTTCTATCATCATAGAAAGTTCCCCTGGGTAGCCCCGAGCCATAGAATAGAAAGATGTATGAAGAACGGATACTCTGGTGGCCTCTGAGGAGGGGACCTGGGAGACAGGAGGTGACAAGGGGACTTTTCACCTTTTGAACCTTTGTACCTTTTGGATTTAGAAGCATGTGAATATGTTACATATTCAAAAAGTCAATATTTAAATGTTAAAAAAAAAAAAGGAATAATCCTTTCACTGGTCTCTCTCTTGGTGTTCAGGAACTCCTCCCTCGTTTCCTTTAAGAGGATTAAGGTGGACCAAAAGATGGACCCAGGAGCCAACCTTGGTTTAGCTGGGATTCTACAGCAGCCTCCAAACTGGAAGTTAAAAGGACAATCCCTTGACCTTGAAGGCTTTTGTTTATCGATGAGCGGCTTCTCACGGGGGCAGCCCTACATAGGTGTCTGCAGGGAAGACAGCCAAGGCTGATTTATTTGACGGTGGACAGTGGAGAACTGAATAGCTCAGCGAAGACCAGTGGCGTGCGGAGTACACGTGTGTACCCCCGTTTTACAGAGCGGTAAACTGACTTGGGTGGGACCCTCAGCTCTCCGGAGGCTAGCCCCGATGGAAGGGGCCCAAGCCTCATTTCTAAACTGGGGAAGAGCGGAGAGGTGAAGAGCATGGCCCTGGATCTAGACTGTGTAAGTCTGAAGTCCAGCTCCATCATTAAGTAGCTGTGTGACCCCGGGCCAATTCCTTGACCTCTCTGTGCTTCAGTTTCCTTGTCTATAAAATGGAAAGGAGAATGGTGGCCTCCTTCCTCAACATGCTCTGGTGCGATTTAAATGAATTATAACACGCAAAGCACTTAGGGTAGTGCTTGGCACGTAGTCAGTGCTTGATGACATGAACTAAAATTATCATCGATATGATGTGTGGATAGAGGGCTGGGTTTGCATTGGTGGCTTGAATCACGGCTGGTTCCTGAGCATGAGATGGAGGTGGGGGGAGTGCTCTGGACCTGATTCTGGAGAGTGGGTTCACACTGCACCACTACCCTGGGTTGGGATTCTTCCATACGTAAGAGAAAAAGCACAGCCAGGGGGGAGAACCTAGTTTCCCCCCTCCCTCCTCTTCCTCCCTGCACATCCACCCCGGCTCTGAAGTTGGATGAGAGCAGCAGAAAGATTCCTCTTGGAGGAACAGTGGGACTGCTCCGGCCTCTGAACCTTTGCATTGGCTATTCCGTCTGCCTGGAACTCCTGTCCCTCTGAAGATAGAATGAGGGTCCCCTGCCTCCATTCTGCCTCCTCTGCTTCACCAGCATTTCCTCGCAGAGACCTTCCCTGACCACTCAAATTAAAATAGCACCCTTACAGGGGCACCTGGCTGGCTCAGTCGATTGAGCATCTGTCTCCGGTCAGGTGATGATCCCAGGGTCCTGGGATCAAGTCCCGCATTGGGCCCCCCGCTCAGCAGGGAACCTGCATCTCCCTCTCCCTCTCCCTCTCCCCCCGCCGGCTTGTGCTCTCTCACTCTCTCTCAAATAAATAACATCTTTTAAAAAAATAAATTAAAATAGCATCCTTACAACTAACTGTCCCTCTCCATGTCCTCACCCTATTCTCCTTGACACTACTCCTCACTCCATCTCCTTGACAAAGGTGACCCTCTCTTCTGAGTCTTGATCTGGGTGGTGGGGAAGGGCAGTTTTCACTTTGTGGACATTCCTCCAACTACGCACTTCTCATCTGAGCATTTTCTATGTGTGTGGTTCGGTTTTTCTAAATGGCACTTTCTGTCACCTCTTCTTCCTCGCCCCAACCCTCCTGACATTTTCTCACAGTTGGCTGTGTCTGTCTCCTGTTGGTTTCCCCCACTACAACCACAAGGTGATTCCAGCAGCTTCCTCTGCAAGGTAGCCAATAGCCAGGAGTGGCTCTTTAAATTTCAATGAGTTAAGGTGAAATGAAATTTTAAAATTCGGTTCCTCGGTCCTCCTGGCCACATTGCAAGTGCTCGTGTGGCCAGGGGCTACCCTACCGGGCGGTGCAGCACCCCCAAGCATTTCCGTCGGGGCAGAAAGCTCTTGTGGTCCCTGCGGGCGGGGACCACGGGTGTCTGGCAGGCTGCGGCCTCCCCAAGGCCGCAGTGGGCACTTAGTGAATGACCGAATGGGGGGGGAGGGGGAATGGATGAAAGGAGCGAACGGATGAGTGGGCGGATGAATGAATGAATAAATGACCCGTGAGGCTCGGGCGTGGCTCTCCCCCGCCCCCGCCTGCCTCCCCCGAGACCCCACCTTGGCCTCGGGGTCGGTGCGGAAGAGCCCCTCGAGCACGTGCAGGGCGTCCAGGACGCCGTGGTCGCGGCCCTTGCAGTAGGAGAGCAGGCGGCGCACGTCGGCCGGCGCCACGAACTGCTTGGAGATCTTGTTGGTGGTGCGCACCGGGAGGCAGGCGTTGGCCAGCAGGTGGCCCGGGCGGAAGTAGTAGGCGAACTCGAGCGGGCAGGCGGGGTGCGAGTGGGTCAGCTGGCACTCCGTCACCACGAGGCGGTCCCGCAGCGGGCTCAGCTTGACGATGATGAAGGCCGGGCAGCCGGGCTGGGGGGGCCTGCGGGAGAACGACCACCGCCGCCGTCACATCACCCTCTGCCCTTGTACTCCTTCTCTCCCTCTCTCTCTCTCCTTTTTAATTATTATTTTCTAAAATTAAGGACTGTTGCAAGCACCGAGAAGAGAGAGGGCCTTCCGAATCTGCCAGCTGCGTGACCTTGGGCAAGTCCCTTCAAGCCTCTGTGCCTCAGTTTCCTCCTATGTTGAAAGGGAGATCATCAGCACCCAGACCTTTCTCCTGGGGTTGTTGTGAGGATTGAAAGAGTTGATGTATGGCCAGCACTTAACTGTGTCTGCAACGTGACCAGCCCCCGTGTTGGCTGCGCCTCTGTGCCTACCGCCCCGTCTCTATCAAAAGCGAAGGGATATTTTATTTACCTCAAACAACTGTAAGAAATAAAACTTCAGAGACTCCTGTATCCACTTCACATTTAGCAAGACCAGCATGGCAAGTTCAGGGCCTCTGGGGACCCTGTCCCCCAAAAGTCCTCCTCGGTCCCCCAAAGTAGCCACTTCCCAAATTGGGTATCTAGCCTTTTCTGTGTGTTTTTAGGTTCCCATAACAGTGGAAGGTAGGTTTCCAGGTTTTAAAAGTTCGTATACACAGAAAGGTGCTCAAACTCATCAGTCATCTAGCGAATACGAATGAAAAGCCCCAGGAAATGCCACTACCCACCGCCAGAATGACCAAATAAAAGCACAGACCAAGATGTGGAGAAAGCGCAACACTTAACTTCTCGTCGATCAGAGTTTACTTGTCACTTGTCACCGCGTGACAGTATCTGCTAACGCGGATCACGTGTCACCCCGTGACCCAGTATTTCTACTCAAGACAAATGCCTGAAGATGGGCACCCAAAGGTTGTACTAGAATGTTCACAGCAGCCCTCTTCGTATCAGCCAGGTATTTGAAACAACCTGACATCCACCAGGAGGGCAGGAAAATAAGTAAGGCTATATCCTCAAATACGACCCTAACCAACAGTAAGAATGGACAAGCCATTCCTATCACCAGCAACGTGGTCGGATCTCGCAGATCCGCTGTGTGAAAGATGCCCCACACGAAAGATGACAAACCACCACATGTCAGGTTTATCGAAAGTTCCGTAAGAGGCAAAGGTAGCCTCTGCTGTTGGGAGACCGGGGAGTGGTTACCCTTGAGTGGTTAACACTATGGGGAGGTTGGCACTGGGCACGTGTATTCTCTTGTTCTGGGTATTGGTTACATGGACATTTTGTTTGGGGGAAATTCATTGAGTTGCATACATTATGATGCATGTGCTTTTCTTCATGTGTGTTACGCTTTTAAAAAGTTTACTTAGGAAACTTTTTCTTTCTAGCGTATGGTAGGCAGAACAGCCCCTCAAGGATGTTCACGTCCTAGTTGCTGGAGCTGTGCAAACATTACCATGCACTGCAAAAGGGACTTTGCAGATATGATTAAATTAAGGGTCTTGAGATGGGGAGATGATCCTGGTTTAACCAGGTGGGCTCAGTGTACCTCCAAGGGTCCTTATAAGGGGAAGACAGAAGCAAGAAGCCAGAGAGGCAAGTCAAAGTCAGAGAGAGAGAGAGAAAGATGCTTCTCTGCTGGAGGGGCAGCAAGCCTAGGAGAGGCTGCAAGCCAGGAATGCCAGCACCTCTAGAAGATTCTCCCCTAGAGCCTCCAGAAGGAACCAGCCTTGCAGACACCTCGATTTTAGCCCCGTGAGACCGGTGCTGGACTGATGACCCTCAGAGCTCTAAGATCACCCATTTGCATTGTTTTAAGCCACCGCATTTGTGATACTTTGTTAAAATAGCAATGGGAAACTAACCCCACTCTCTCTATATACTCTTGCAACTTGCTTTCTCACTCATCAGCTTTTCAGCATTGGTTCATTCCTTTTGCTGCCTAATATGCCACTCGCAACTCTGCCAACTGTATGGTGGTTTTTTTCTTTTTTTAAGATTCTATTTAAGTCATCTCGATAGCCAAGGTGGAGCTCGAACTCACAACCCCGAAATCAAAAGTCGCATGCTCAACCGACTGAGCCAGCCAGGTGCCCCCTCTGCCAACTGCATGTTGTCTCCTCTTTTCCCTTTTTACAAACAACACTTTGATGACACCCAACTCTTTTATCTGTCTGTGTGTGAGCAAGAGCCTGTCTAGGACAGAGGCCCTCAAGCTGCAGGGCACGGCCCACCCATTAGCTGAAATCAATCAGGGAGCTACAACCAGCATTGTAAAAAATGAAAGAGAACAGGGGGGAAATCAGGGTGCATTTCCCTGATAATAATACTTATTATTGACATCTGCTTTCTGAAAGGAGGTTCCGTGTTTCTCCATGAGGAATGACTGGCATTTTGTGTAGGAGGTTTATGTTTATAGAGCAGGGATTGGCACACTTTTTCTGTAAAAGGACAGACACTAAACAGACTGTTGCTATATTGTGAAAACAGCCATAGATGGTATGTCAATGCATGGGCCTGGCTGTGTTCCAATAAAACTTTATTTACAAAACACAGCTGCAGGGGCGCCTGGGTGGCTCAGTCCTTTAGCGTCTGCCTTCGGCTCAGGTCATGATCTCAGGGTCCTGGGATCAAGCCCCGCATCAGGCTCCCTGCTCTGCGGGGAGCCTGCTTCTCCCTCTCCCACTCCCCCCTGCTTGTGTTCCCTCTCTCACTGTGTCTCTCTCTGTCAAATAAATAAAATAAAATCTTAAAACAAACAAAAAAAGAAAACACAGCTGCAGGGTGGATTTGGCCCAAGGTCCTCACAGCTTGTCAGCCCTTGTAACATAGATTGTCCAGGGCTTGGCAAGTAATTAAGAAGCGTGACTCACAGGCAGTAAATCAGTAGCATGCCCTAAAACGCTCCTAAATTGTTTCCAAATGGCCCCAGAGAAGGGTGAGCCTCCCCAGAACCCACCCCGACACTCTCCAGTATAAATACTTAAGAACTGTCTTTGTTAAACCAGAAGGGGATCCTTGACACGTCCCTTTTCTGCTCCATGCAGGAGGTAAAGGAAAACCAGGAGCCTGCTGGATTTTTTTAAATCTACATAAAAAGCTTGAGACTTTTTGCCTTATTTAAAGCAACAAAAATAATGCGAAATTAGAAAACAGTCTAAGTCTCCAAATTGTTATAAATAAAATACAAATATGGAGCCACCCCAGTGGTGTTAGGTGGAACCAAAAGACATTTCTGACATGCAGCCATTTTTGATCTACCAAAACTGTGGCCCGTTCACAGGGCTCTACCTGACAAGTTTCCCCTGGCTAACTCGCGGGCTCGTGTGAAACTCTCTGGTCTGGCCTCTTTTGGCTGACTCTTTTGGTTCAGCCCTTAGAACAAGCCCCCACTCAGGGGAGGCCACACCTCCGGGAAGTTGTGCATCTTGCCAGAGAATAGCGCGTCCCCTCTGGGGTCCCCGTACCTCACATAACTATCTACTGTGGCCCCAGCATGCTATTTTTGCAATTTCTCTACACCCAGCTGGGGAGAATGCCACCCGCCTCTACATGTGAACTCCACGTAGGCAGGAATCTGTCTGTTTTGCCTCCTGCTATGGTCCCAGCACTGAGAACAGCCCCTGGCCCCTGGGAGGCGCTCAGTAAATAGATGATGAGGAATGACAGAATCTCGCTGTAGGAACCCCAGGCACCCAGGCACTGCGCTCATTACATCAAGCCGCTCAGCACCCAGGCCTGCCTATCATGCCTTATAAACTCATCAGACCATCCGCGTTTCCCCATTCCCACTGCCAGCAGCCCTACTCAGTTCTTTCCTTCTTCATGAAACATCCTTCTCCCTTCTTTTCCCCTAGGTAGCTCTTATTCCTCCTTCACAACTCAGAACCAGCGTCACCTCCTCCAGGAAGCCCTCTCTGACCATCCCCAGGCAGATTTCATCACACATTGGGGTGAGGATCTGATGGATGCCCATCTGTCATGCATGCTCTTCACTGAATGGGGTGCTCTTCCACTGAAACCCCCACGATCTAAAACACATTCACCCTTGCACATAGCAGGTGCTTGAAACAAAGCTCTCGGATGGACAAACAGCATGGCACCTAGGACCACATTTGACTCTCATACTAATAATCTATGATTGAAATAAAGACGAGGGGTAGGGGAGGGAAGAGAGGGGGGACCAAAAACATGGGCTTTGTGGTCAAACCGTGTGGGTCCTGATCCTGGTTTCCTCCTCTCGGCAGCTGGGCTATCTTGGGAAATTCCTTTAACCTCTCTGTGCTCGTTTTCTCATGTAGCAATTGGGGCTAATAAGAATACTACCTCGTAGGTTCATCGAGAGTACAGAAGAGGATTATGTTATGCAAAGTAGTTAGACAAGGGGCTGGTGCACAGTAAGCACTTAATAAAAATGAGCCTGCTATTTCCCCCATTTTTCTTCTTCTAAAAAGTACCATTGCTTTGAGCTGTTTTGCTCTCCATGTACCCATTTCTTCTTGATCTTTCAGGTTCTCAAGCTCTTTGTGATTTCAAAGGCTGGTGTGTGTATTCTAGAGAGGGAAGCGCTGAGAGAGGCTGAGGGTTGTGCAGAGCAGAGGGCTGGAGCTGGAGGGGAAAGAGGCGGGATGGTGATTTGGGGGAGGTTGCAGGGCAACGTCTGGGGGAGGGGGCTGGAGTGGCCAGGGAGAAAGCTCTGCGGTGTGTTCTCAGGCCCCTTGGCCCCAGCCTCCTGGCTGGCCTCCCGTCTCTCTCCTCCAGTCTGTCCCCCACAAGGCCCCAGGAGGGATTACCCTACCTCCAGAGCTGCCCCTGCTCTCAGCCCCTCCTGTCTCCCTCTGATAATTGCAGAGCACTTGGGACAGTGCCTGCACATAGCAAATGCCATGTGTGTAAGACAAATACATACATATATAAATGTATAAACAAAGAGAATCCTTCAAGTTTCCATTTACTGGTCACCTCCTCCAGGAAGCCTTCCAGAAGCACCCTGTAAGCTCTCAGGTGGAGCTTAGCTGACCAGTCCTCTTTACCCTCCTCCCTCCCACTCTCTAACTTCTTCTCTCTCACAATTGTGAGCCCTGATTTCCAATTTTTTTTGGGGGGGGGTCTTTTTCTCCTCCATTAGGTTCTCAGCTGCTCAAGAGCAGCAGGCTCCAAATGCCTAGCAAAGAGCATGCACACAGTAGGTGCTCAGTAAGTGTTTGTTACTTCGAATTGGGTTCTGTTAACAAAGAGAGATTCCAGATTGGGCCTAAGCCGCTCACAAGCTCAAATGTTCTAGATTTCTCTGTGATGATGTGTGCGTTTGATCCTGTTCTGCTTCCTGGCCTCTGAGTCTCTGTTTCTAGATAAGCAGGGAGTAAACTACCAAGAACAGTAATCTCTCAATAAATGTTTCAATGACTACGGTGAGAATCGCTGTTCGAAGGGCAATTTGCATGTATCAGCTCATTTAATCCTCACAAAACCTGGGATTGATCATTACCATCACTTCCTCCATTTTCCAAGTCAGGAAACTGAGACCCAGAAAGGTGATGTCACTTGCTCAGTGTCCCTGGCTAATCCCAGCAGGCCTGGGGTTTGAGGCGAGCCTGCTGGCTCCTGAGTCCGTGCTCTTGACTTGCAGAACAGCTGTCATTTACCCAGCCGCCCCACGTTGCAGGCACCAGGGAAGCGCCTCCCCGTGCTTGGTCTCACAGTAACCTTCCAACAGCTCTGCGAGAACCCCATTTCAGAGAGGAGAAACCCGACTCAGGGATGTGATGTCTGTTGCCCAAAGACACCCACCCCGGAAGTGGTGGGGCTGGTCTCAAGCGGCCTGAGGGCAGAGCCTGATTTTAAGCGTCCCGTTCTTGCCCAGGGCTCTCCAACCAAGGGTCTGAAACTCATGCACACCTACAGGGACCAGGGCAGGCGAAACACGGAAGTGGCAGGGCTAAGTGTGAGGTAACAGGGAGCGGTGGGGTCTGGGGCAAACCTGAGCGCCAATGCCCCATCTAACTGCAGTGGCCGTCTGCCACACAAGAACGTGCGCTCAGCCTCTTCCCATGTTTCAAGAAAAGCCAGAAACCAAACATTTTATGGAGAGTGCTCTGGTTTCAGACTGGGGGTGGGGGGGCGTGATTAAAACTTCCTTGGCCAGCTGGGTATATCTCCTAGCCCTCTCATGGATTTTTCATTTGCCCCTTGTAGTGTTACACTTATAGGGAGCTTATTTGTGAGCTTGTTCATATAATGTCAGCCTTCCTGTTCAGTCTGAACATGCCAGGAGGGCAGGGGACTTGTCTATCCTGCTCAACACCTTCTCACCCCAATGAAGTATCTTTAGCTCCCATGTGGGACCCGGCCCTGTATTTACTGAATCAACAGATGGGTCTTTCTCTCTTTGTCCTATAGTTTACTCTGGCAGCTCTGTCTCTGACCTCTTTGTAGGTGTCCCAAACCTGGCTCTCACCCATTTTTCTGGTTCTGGCTGGAGTCTCTGGCTCCATGTCTCCATGTTTCTGGAATATTGTCCTTTTTTTTTTTGGCTTTCTTCAATGTGTCCATCTCACTCTCTGCCTCTAAGTCCCTATTAAAGTCTGTAATTGGAGCCCGCCCTGTCACTCACTGTGCGTGCCTTTGTCCTTCCAGCTCACTGGCTGTCTGCCTTTCTCCAGGACTGTCTTGGCTTCTCTGCAAGTTGTACTTAGCTGTTTTGGTAGGCATCTCTCCCTCCCCATCTCTTGGTGGGGGGCTCTCTGCCTACTCCTCCCCCTCCCCCCCAGCACCCCCCAGCAGGGCACGGCTCAGCTCACGCACCCCACGGTGGGCCGGCTGGGCGCGCGCACGTCCTTGCACACGAGCCGCACGTAGCTGTACTTGAGCACGTCGATGAGCGTGTAGAGCGGGGGTGCGCTGGCCCAGCGGCAGCGCGCCAGGTGCATGGAGCTCTTGACGAAGAAGAGCGCCAGCCGCTGCTGGCACCACGCGTCGAAGAAGCGGCTGAACTCGGCCCATGAGAAGAAGGCACGCTCCCGCAGCTCCTGCTCCTCCTGCCCCGCCGTGCTGGGTGGGGACTCCATCCTGGGGCGCCTGAGTGGAAGGGAGGGCACGTGGATATCAGACCCATCCCCACCAGGAGTATCCCACTTCCTCCATTTTCCGCCTGCCTCTTTGGTCCTGGTGCCTCTTTCTAGGTGGGGCCCAGGGTGGGATGCACCCCCGTTAAATATCTAGATATGAATCTACACTCTATCTTTGGTTTTCTCCCATTTCTGCATTATTCCCGGGACAGCTGGAGCCTGTCATCCTGATCCCTAACTTCAGCTCTGGCCCCATCTGTAGATGTGCCCCTAGGTACAGTTGGGGTCCCTCTCCCAAAAATATAACCCTTAAGTTCAGTGGTGGACACCTCCAATGTATTCCCAACTTCCAGCTAAGACCTCCTCCCCCCTCCGGATATATTTCCTATACTTGGCCATAACCTCTAGCGCCCCCATTCATATGAAACCCCCCCTTCTACGTGTCTACACTTGGCTGTAACTCACATCCATCTTTGCCCTCTTCTAAAGATGTTCCATGTCCAGATGTGCTCCCGCATCCAGTCATGGACCCCTCATCCCCAGACATACTCTTCACGCACCTGTGGCTCCCTCCTCCCTGGATGTGTCTCCGATATGCAGCTGTTTCCCCGGATGTGACCCCATGGGTCGCCACATCCAGCTGTAGCCCCTGCCTCCGAGAGGCTCCCATATCCCGATGTCCTTCTCACATCCAGTATGTACTTTTCGCCCACAGGTGTGTGCCTCATTCACTTGTGGCCAATTCTCAGAAGTGTCACCAATACTTGTCTGTGCCCACCTCCTGCCCAGACGCGCCCCCCAGTCCAGCTGTAGCTCCCTCCTCCCATTTGCAGCTATTGTACTCCCCAGATGTGCATTCTGGTCCTAGACATGGCCCCTCGTCCTCAGATGGGCTTCATCACCCCAGATGCTCCCCCACGTCCAGCTGCGCCTCCCCCCCCGCCCCCGTGCAGCCCCTCCCAACCCGCTTCCGCCTCCCCAAGCCCTCCCAGCCCCTCCTGCCGCGGGCCCTCCCACCTCCGCTGTCCCACCCAGCTGTGCCTCTCCCCTCCCCCAGATGTGCACCCTTCCCGCCCCTCCCCACTCACCTACCCGCCCCGGAGCGGCGTCCACCTCCCACAATGCTCCGCGCCGAGGCCAGGCCCGGCCCTTGCTCCCGGGATGCCCCGCGCGGCCTCCCGCCTCTCTTCCCGCTGTACCTCGCGCAGCGGCTTCCACCGAATCTCCCTCTTTCCCCGGCAGTCACTTCTCAGACCCGCAGCTACACCCACCCACCCAGAGCGAGGGAAGGCGCGGACCATTTCCCATCGTGCTCTGCGGGAGGGCTCACCCTACTTCACCCCTTTCCTAGTAGCCTCCCGTCTGGGAGACTACAACTCCCAGCGCCCTCCGGAAGGCAGCGGCGGCGCGGACGACGCCCGGACCCCGCCCCTCGGCACGGCCCCGCCCCCGCCCGCCAAACTCTGCGCGCGAATTCCGTGGCGCGAATTGAGGGCTGCGGTCGGGCGCCGAGCGGTTCCGGGTGTGACGCGCAGGACAGTGGCGCGCGGGGCCGGCAAGAGGCAGGTGGGGCCGCCGACGCGGGGCTGGGAAACTGGGGGGTGGCGGGCTCCGCCGGGTCGGTCGGCTGCAGAGGAGCGGGCGTGGGGGACGCTCAGGCGGCCGAGAGCGCGGCGGGGAAGGGAGAGCGCCGGCAGCGGGTCCCTACAGGGCACGGGGGGGCGTCCGCCGGAGGGAGAGGGCCAGGTAGAGGGTAGTCGAGGGCCAGAGTCAGTAGGACCCGACAGGGTTTGAGGAGAGGCCTGGGAGGCGGGGCTGCCACGAGGGGGGTGGTCACAGAAGCTCGAGGGGCGGGCCCCTGGGGCCGGTGGGGTAGACTCGGTGGGCTGGGCCATCGGAAATTGCGTGGTCGGGGAGACAGGCCCACCTGGAAGGGGGTGGGGACGGGGCAAAGTTTGTTAGCGGGCGGGGCCAGACGCTAGGAGGCGGGGCCGGGGAAAGGTTCAAGGAGAGGGGAGAAGTGGGGTCGGCTTTAGACGGTGTGGGGGGAGGATCCCGCTGGACGGAGGTGGGGCAGAGAGGTCTGTGGTCTGGTCCAGGTCTAGGCCAAGGCCTTAGGAAAGGTCGGGACCCTTCTGTATAAGGAGAGGTCTGGCTTTGTGGATGCCGGATGAGGGGGGCGGAGCGGAGGTAGGGTTGGACCACAGGGCTGGGAGGCCAAGGCCTGGGAAGGGAAGGGGCCTTGGAGAGAGTAACTCAAAGGTCTCGGCTTATTGTTGCCCTAAGGGGTGGACGGAGGGCCAGAGGAGCTTGGGGAGCGGAGAGAAAAGGATATTGATGTCCTTAGGAGAGGGGGAGGCTTGAAGGATAAGGCAAGGGGGGGGCGGGGTGCACTTGGCTGGGAGAAGAGATGAGCATTTGGAAAGGGGGGCTGGCATCTGAAAGCTGAGGGGAATCATTGAGGAGAGACAGCAGGACGTGGGATGAAGGACACATCACTTCTTGGCCTCCAACCCCGTTTCATCCTGTTTGAATACTCTGACCTTTTAGCCTCAGGGAGGCATGAAGGAAAGGCCAGTGGGGTCTAAGTAAGACCTTAATTTCGTCTTATCTTAGGATCCCTGGGAGCTTGCTAAGCCTGCAGGTCCCCCTTCTATACCCAGAGCTTCTGATTAGTAGGTCTGGGAGCAGGCTGGAATATTTTACACGTAATCCCAGGTGAGGTTTTTAGAACTGACACTGTGTTTCTGGGATCCACCATTGGCTGGCTGTGTGGCCTTGAACCACTTACTTTCCTTCTCCTGTCCCAGCTTCCTCATTGTCTTTTGGGTGATGCTGAGCTGTTCTGAGCTTCAGAGGATGAGAGTAGCATATTTAGGGGAATGGTATAAAATACTTTCCACGGATGGAGGGTGGTCAGGGGAACAGACAGGTCAGGAAACGTGAGCTTTTATTAATGAGAAGAAAAAGACTTGAGCCTTTTGGCTGGTCATCCTCAAACTGTTTAAAGACCCTTTGAGGGGCGCCTGGGTGGCTCAGTCAGTTAAGCGTCTGCCTTCGGCTCAGGTCATGATCCCAGGGTCCTGGGATTGAGCCCTGCGTTGGGCTCCCTGCTCAGCGGGGAGCCTGCTTCTCCCTCTCCCACTCCCCCTGCTTGTGTTCCCTCTCTCGCTGTGTCTCTCTCTGTCAGATAAATAAATAAAATCTTGAAAAATAAAGACCCTTTGATATCGTGCTCGTTGTCGCATGGCCTGTGGGTTTTGAAAGATCCTGCTTATGAAGCCTAAATTCTTTAGTAATGATGTTTTTGTTACCCTGATTTTTTAAAAAAGATTTATTTATTTATCTGAGACGGGAGGGGTAGAGGGAGAGGGAGAGCCCCAAGCAGGCTCCATGCCCAGTGTGGAGCAGACGTGGGGCTCGATCTCATGACCCTGGGATCATGCTCTGAGCCGAAAACAAGAGTTGGGAGCTCAAGCAACTTTGCCACCTAGGCGCCCCTGTTACCCTGACTTTTAAATAAAGGCATACATACGGGCCAATGCATTCAGTACCAGGCACCATTTTAGGTCCTGTGGCCATATTGCTGAACAAAATGGACAAAATCCTTATCTTTATGGAACTCAACGTTTTAGCCCTGTACTGCTTGCTTAATAGAGTAGCAGCTAGCCCCATGTAGAGATTTAAATTTAAGCTCATGAGAAACAGATGAAAATCTCAGCTCCTCAGTGGCACTAGCTGCATTTCAAATACTTGAAGCCACATATGGATAGAGTGACCTTTTTGGGTTCTGCAGGTATAGAACGTTTCTATCATGCGGAAAATTGTGTTAGAAGCAGTACTCTAGAGAGTGAGACAAAACCTAATTTAGAAGATCCAGTTGCGTTAACTGCTGGGGTGGAGGAGAGTGAGGGGTTAGTATAGCAGGCTGGGGCTGGCGGTAGCCGGACCTGCACTTGGAGCAGTGGGATGCTGAGAGGTGGTTGACAGTGGGTGGTCTTTGGGAGGCAGTGCCAGTGGGATTCGTGGGTCGATGAGTTTGGGGTATGAGAAAAGAGGTGAATCAGGTGAATCAACAATCCAAGGGTTGTTTTTGTTTTTGTTTCTTTAAAGATTTTATTTATTTGAGAAGAGAGCACAAGCAGGGGGTAGGGGCAGAGGGAGAGGGAGAAGCAGACACCCCGCTGAGCAGGGAGCCCCATGCAGGGCAGGGCTCGATCCCAGGACTCTGGGATCATGACCTGAGCCAAAGGCAGATGCTTAACTGACTGAGCCACCCAGGCATCCCATTTTGTTTTGTTTTGTTTTTTTGTTTTTTGTTTTTTTTAAAGATTTTATTTATTTATTTGAGAGAGAGACTTCTGTCGATTTTGAAATGTGTAGAATTATGTATAAAGACCACCACCATCAAGATACTACAGTTTCATCACTCCAAATGGACCTTGAGAGCTTGTTTGGAGGTTCTAGCAGGGGAGCGCAGCTACTCGTATACCCTTGACCGAAGAACGGTCCTCTCCTCTATCGGGGAAGGTCGTCCTCTTCGACCGAGCGCGCAGCTTCGGGAGGGACGCACATGGAGCGGTGAGGGAGGAAGGGGACACCCGCCTAGCCAGCCAGATCAGCCGAATCAACCCTGGCGATCAATGGGGTGACAGATGTCGCAGCCAGATCGCCCTCACATCCCAGTTTCATCACTCCAAAAAGTGATTGTGTTCCTCGTCTCTAGGTACCCTCCCCCCGCCGGCAACTATCGGTCCCTCTGCATCCCTGCAGTGTACCCGAATATTCCTTTTTATTGCCAAGCGAGTGTAAACAAGCTTTAGTACATCCTACAATGGGATACTGTTCAGTAAGTTGTAGGATGTACCATAGTTTGTTCATCCATTCCCCGTGGGAGGACATTTGGATCATTTTTGGTGACCGTAAACAGATCCGCTGCAGTGAACATTCACTTACGGGGTTTTGTGTGCACATAGGAGTTCTCTGGGTAAATCCCTCGGAGTAGGGTTACTGGGTCATATGGTAAGCATATGCCTCACCGTTTGAGAAGCTGCCAGGCTTCTCCAAAAGTGACCGAACCATGTTGAATTCCCTCCAGAAAAGTATGAGACTTCCCATTGTTCCACATCCTCACCAGCACTTGATATTGTTTGGTGTTTTGTTTTGTTTTGTTTTGTTTTGTTTTTAATGGTTAAATAGGCATGCAGTGGACTCCAAGGTTTTTGACTGGAGCAGTTGGGTGACAAAAGCTACCACCGCAGAGATGGGAGAAGGAATACGTGTGTGTGTATGTCATCTGGAGTTTGGTTTTGGTCCCACTGAGGTGGAGATGTTGGTTGGACATCCAGATGTCAGAGCAGAAAACCAGGATGTGCCCCCTTGAGTTTAGAGGGCTAGTGACAGCCGGAGTGAGACATTTGGGGGCCATGATCACATTGCATGAGATCTCTAAGGGAGTGGGTGTAAACGGGACAGAGAGGGGGCCTAAGGATTGGGCCTCGAGCACTGCAACAGTTAGAAAGCTAGTTGCCATCCTGGGGCGCCATGGCTCAGTCAGTTAAGCATCAGCCTTCCACTCAGATCATGATCCTGGAGTCCCGGGATCGAGCCCCGCATCGGGCTCCCTGCTCAGCAGGGAGTCTGCTTCTTCCTTTGCCCCTCACCTGGCTCGTGCGCTCTCTCTCTCTCTCTCTCTCAAATAAATAAATAAAATTTAAAAAAAAAGGGTCTTAAAAAATTAGTTACTATCTTAGTTTTCTGTTGCTATTGTACCAAATCATCCCCTTTGCCACTTAACAAGCTCTGTGATTCCAGGCATCTTTCTGTGCCTCCGTCTCCTCATTGGCGAGATGGGGATAAAAATGGAAAATGTTGGATTGTGTTGTTGGGAAGTATTGGGTAACATCATTTTACCCTGGTTATCTCAATAGCCCCAAGATCTAAGGGCCGCCCGCCACCCCTTCAATCCCAATACAGGGGGACCCTTGTCCTCCTCACTCTCAAGAATAGGTAGTAGTTAAGGACACAGACTTTGGAACTGCACACCTGTCTTCGGATCCTGGCTTCGAAACCCATTAGGCTGTCTGGCCTTGAGCAAATCACTCG